TTCTTTTCTTCAGGAGCTCACAGAAGCTCAGCCATATTCTTGTGTCTGCAGGTGTCAGTGTCAAGAAGGGACACGAGCTGGTGAACATCTATTGCCCCATCGTCATCTCCAATGCAGGAGTGTTCAACACCTACCAGCACTTAGTGCCAGGGAGTGTCCGCGGTCTGCCAGGTAAAAGGCTGGTCCTCTGAACTGGCATTCTACTGTGGCGCTTATAACCCAGTCTGGGTGACGCTCGTCCTCTTGTGGGCACCCCTCTGGTTGTCGATCTCCCTCTGCTACCAGCACCATCACATTTACATTTGGGGAACCCAGGACTGCACAGGTGAAGGGTCCTTCACAGAGGCAATGGCGGAGCTCTGAGGACCCTGTTATATGTCTGTTGTCAATGTGTAGGCTGTGGACTTCAGGCTGCGAATCCAAAGCCTGTACATTTGCCTTCCCCTGCCTGAGAAACTGGGACTCTAATAGAAAAGGACTCTCGAAGGGCAGAAGAGGGCTGGGGAAGGAAACTCAGCTAATCAATGTGCTTGCCTAGCATGCATCAAGCCCCGGGTTTGATCCTCACAAACAGGCAAGATAGCTGTAGGGGATTTGGCAGTAAACCTGCATCGGGTAAGTAGAGGCAGGACGATGAAAAATTCAGGGTCATCCTTGGCTATGTGAGACCCTGCATCAATGAACAACAAGGGGCATAGAGATGACTCAAAGGGGAAAAAAATGTACTTTTGTTGCTAAGTCTGGTGATCTGAGTTAGATCCCCAAGAAGAAAGAGACAATCAATTTGTCCTCTGACTCCTCCCCACACATCCGGACACACTTGTCCGTGTGCACCTACAGTGTCTAAAGGGGACGACTGAGACAGTCTGATCGTCCAAAATGCTGTGAATTAGCAGTGTGGGAGCCGGCACCTATGACCAATGGTGCATGGAGCAGAGCTGGTAGAGGAGGAAAGACTCTGAGGCTGATTGACACAGCCAGGAAGAGCAGGTCCCTGCCAGGATCCTGTAGGAAGAGCTGTAAACATGGCTATGTCTCTGTGGATGCTGGCAGCTGAGCAGCAAGCTGCAGGTCAGAAAGGGAGTATCCTGAGGCTGTCCTGGCAGGAGGAGCTGTCTGGTCACAGCTCCTGCAATGCAGTGCTCACTGCCTCCCTCTACAGATGTGAAGAAGCAGCTGGCGATGATAAGGCCTGGCATGAGCATGCTCTCAGTTTTCATCTGCCTGAGAGGAACCAAGCAGGACCTGAAGCTTCAGTCCACCAACTACTATGTTTATTTTGACACGGACATGGATAAAGCGTAAGATGGGAGGGGTGGGAAGACTGATGGCTCTGGGCCTCAACCCTCAGGACCACGCTTCCGTGACATGGTTCTAGGAGTCAGAGGAGGATGTGTGTTGAGGGAGCAGGTGCGCCATCCCCAGTGTACTTCCAGAAAGGCTTTTTATACCAAAGCTGTGTCTGTTTCACACTGTGGGGAGTTTCTGGAAGTGAACCACCTTCTGGGTGCTGCTGGTGGCTTCAGAGGAAAATGGCCTAGAGATTGGCAGTCACACCCACCTCATTTACAGGATGGAACGCTACATCTCTATGCCCAAGGAAAAGGCTCCAGAACACATTCCCCTTCTTTTCATTGCCTTCCCATCAACCAAGGACCCAACCTGGGAGGACCGATTTCCAGGTAGGGCTCTAGGTCCAGGGCAGCTGGGTGTGGGTCAAGGTGGAGCAATGCAGCAGGGACATGGCCTTATACCTGCAGATCGATCCTCAATGACGGTGCTGGTACCCACGGCCTTCGAGTGGTTTGAGGAGTGGCAGGAGGAGCCAAAGGGCAAGCGGGGTGCTGACTATGAGACCCTCAAAAACGCCTTCGTGGAAGCCTCTATGTCCGTGGTCATGAAACTGTTCCCACAGCTGGAGGGCAAGGTAGGGGCTGATGTTCACACTGCTGGAGAAGAAGACACACACCTTGACTGTTGGTCTTTTCCTGGGTGCAGGGGTACAGCCTGAGGTAACAGATTCGTGAGGAAAGGTAAGGCCTTTGCAGATTCCTTTGTTCACCTTTGCCCTGCCCTTTTGTCTCCTCAGGTGGACAGTGTGATTGGAGGATCCCCACTTACCAACCAGTACTATCTGGCTGCTCCCCGAGGTGCTCCCTATGGGGCCGACCATGACCTGGCTCGTCTGCATCCTCATACGATGGCTTCCCTAAGACCCCAAACCCCCATCCCCAACCTCTACCTGACAGGTACATTCCTTCACTTTGCCAGAATCTGGGCTTCCCTGACACAATGTTTAGTTCCCATCCTCAGACCCCGCTGTCCCCTTCGGCTCCCATACCAGGAACTGGGCTACCTTGGCTGACTACAGTCTTGAGGTCTATCTGAAGCTGTCTCTCTTTGGGTGGTCCTGAAATGGAGGGATGAACACAAGAACCATTGCTTGTTCATCTTCATGTAGGTAGATATTCATGGACCACTGCTTTTGCTTTCTAGGCCAAGATATCTTCACGTGTGGTCTAATAGGGGCCCTACAAGGGGCCTTGCTGTGCAGCAGTGCCATCCTGAAGAGGAACTTGTACTCAGATCTGCAGGCTCTTGGCTCAAAGGTCCAGGCACAACAGAAGAAGAAGATGAAGTAGCCCATTCAGAGCTAAGCCAGAGAACGGCACCTCCCCAACTTCTTTCTCATGGTTCCTTCTGCTGTACTTCCTTGTGCATATATTCAAAAGCGCTTTGTTTCTGATGCCTGCTGTGAATCGAATTCTCCTCTGCACCCTGCATTTCTACCTAAGGCCTAGTGTGGGCTGCACAGCCTTGCTGTCTCAAGATGAAGAATACTCCCATTCCTTCCCCACACACAGCACTGAGCAAGGATCAAACACTCAGAACCCCTCCGAGTGTTGGCTATTGGAGTAGGTTGGTCCAGGTCTGCCCTGAAGCTTTTTGCTCTCCCCACTCTAGTATTGTGCTGCTCCCTCTGTCAAAGGGAAGGATGACCAGCATGGGTTTGGGGTGGCAACTCTCAAAGTGAGAGCCAAGGGGCTCTCGGCCTTAAGCTTTTTCCTCTGATAGAAGCAGCCTTAAGGAGCATTCCAATCAGAGACAGACCAAGAGATACCACTGCACTGCACCAGCAAAATGTCCCATACACCAGCCTGCTGAGATCTTGACTACAAAGTGACCAGCCAGGCAGGGAGGGGACGAGAGTGGAGACATTGGGCCTGAATACAGGAAGCCCAGTGATCACCGAGCCTAGTGATGACATTTGTAGTTGCTGGCACATATTAAAAACTGAGTATTGTTTTCCAAATTCCTTGGAATCAGAATTCCTTCACATTTTGTAATATTTCAATACATACGAGATAACTTGGGGAATGGGCTCCCAGACTAAATGTCAAATTCATTTGTTTCATGTACATGGATGAGGAACAACAACTTATGTAATATTTTTAAACTTGTGAGCATTGTATCATCTGTCACGTGAGTTTCTACTATTACAAAGCTGCTTTGGCTCTAGAGTAGGGATTCTCCATCTATATGAATCAGTGGGGAAGATGGTGAAAGTTTAAAACTTTTCACTCAGGCTGAACAGGCGCCAATTTTAGTTCATTTAAGTATGGTATTAATACATGCAGTGTTTCAGTGTGTTGATATCTGACGTTTATTTAAGTTTCTGTTCAATACCGACATGAAACTCCACTGAGATGCACTAGCAGCTCAGTAAAATAAACTGGAAAATACTTATTATACCACAGTAAGCTTTAAAAAAATAAAATTAAGCCATTACAGTTAAGTTACAGAAAGGTGAAAATACAAAACATGACTAACAGTGGCAATCTACTCATTGGGTAAAGAAAACAAGGAAAATAATTACAACATTCAGTCATTTACTTAACATGGTAGTCTGAGTTAAATTCCTATCACAGTGAGAGGAGGCTTCCTTCATGGGTGTTCGCTGTGCTCTACAGGCTGAGAAGTTTCTCATACCTGAGTTTTCTCAGCCAAAATCCTTAGAGTTGCTGGGTGGTGGTCGCACATGCCTTTAAATCCCAGCATTTCAGAGGCAGAGGCAGGCGGGTGTCTGCGAGTTTGAAGCCAGCCTGGTCTACAAGAGCTAGTTCCAGGACAGACTCCAAAAGCTACAGAGAAACTCTGTCTCGAAAAAAAAAAAAAAAATTAAAAAAAAAATACGTTGGGCAGTGGTAGCGCATGCCTTCAATCCCAGCATTTGGGAGACAGAGACAGGCGGATCTCTGTGAGTTCGATGCCAGCCTGGTCTACAGAGAAAGCTCCAGGACAGGCTACAAAGTGACAGAGAAACCCTGTCTTAAAAAAACAACAAAAAAAATTTACAGTCACAGCTGAGCAGGAAACTAAATGTACCTGAGAGTCACCATGATGGATTTAGATTAAACTTCAACATCTCTGCCGCTTTTCCTTGTTTTTTGAGAGAGGCTCTCACTGTGTAACTCTGGCTCCCTGGAACTTGCTATTCTAGACCAGGCTGGCCTCAAACTCAGAGATCCTCCTGCCTCTGCCTCCTGAGTGCTGGGTTTAAAGGCTTCCTACACCACGCCTGACTCTACAGCTTTCTTAAGGAAATGCCAAACTGAACCTTCCTAGCAAGACTTTAGGAGAAAACTGAATCAGAGTGGGGGCCCAGTAAAACCCTTCCTCGTTCTGAGTGGCTCAGAATATGTGCAAAGCATGCCAGACCCTGGAGAAGAGAGAAGAGCGAGCGTCACTACCAGGGGAGTTCTCCAGAGCACAGAGCTCCGTCTCCAGGGAAAACACCTTAGCACGTTTAGTTAGCTGTTTGGTCCTGAAGCGGCTTCTGTAGTCCATAGCAGAAACAAACTATTAGCATCTATGACAAGCAGGTTCCCGTTACAAAACTGCCCCTTTCAGCAACTGAGTAGGAAAGCAAGCTGAGAATAGTCTACGGGAGCGGTGCTTGAGACTCTGTGTGCTTCCATAGGCGAGCCCAGCCCTGGTGTGGATGCCTCAGCTGGGCCAGCACCATCCACACGGTCTAGAAAAACAAGCTTCAAGTGGTCTCCCTATAGAAGACAACCTCAAGTGACTTTCTGTGTGGGAGCCATCTACTTCCAGTGCAGCTTTTCCAGTGAGAGAAATCCCGCTGTGTCTGCCAGCACAGGAAACACTGTCAGCAGTCCAAAGGGAGAGGCTCTGCGGACCCTGGGAATATGTCATGTGTCTGACTTCTCTCTGTCCATCTTGGTTCCTGAAAATCTATCTTAACTCCTGCCTTCAAGAACAAGAGTCAACAAGTGTACCCTTGACCTGGAAGAGCTGTATGAGCCCCAGGTGCAGATACACCTCCAACAGGAAATTTGACCCCCGAATCCCTGGTGGGTTGTGGGGGTGGGGGTGGAGGGTGTTACCCACACTAGGCAGATAGGACACCAATGGCTGTCTCTCAGGGCTTAGTTTTCTTGGGGAGATCACAGCGACGTCAGAACAAGTCATGCTGGAGATCAAGATGAGGGAGACAGAAGGAGCTATCAGTGTGCAGTGGGAAGAGCAGATCCACTGGGGAGGCTAGGAAGGAATATAAGCCTGTGAGCTGAGTCCTTCAAAACACAAGGACCTGAGTAAGCTGAAAGGAGGGGAAAGCTAACCAAGAGCACAGGAGAAGCTGGAATACAGAGGACATGATGAAGGCAGAGGCAGACAGGGAGTGTGGCCTGAATGATGAAGCCAAGGAATCTAGTCGAGAATACAACTCCAGACAGAAGCTTCAGACCAGGGCACACATTCTGGAAAGATCCATGTTCCCAATCCTGGCATTAGAAAAGGTCAGGAGAACCAGTTCAGGTGGTTCCTTTAAATTAATGGAGAGTGTACTCAGTTTGTTTAAAGAGGGGTGGGAGGATCTGTGACAAGAAAAATGTTATAGTTAGCATAGTTTTCAGATGATTTAAGAAACTGAAGAACAGGTAGAGGGGCTTGACAGGTACAAGGGAGAAATTCTGAATGGGTGACAAGGAGAGAATGTATTTTTAGCATATAACTGAAGTGGGTTCTTGGGAAGTATGCATCCCAAGAGCCCAAAGATAAAGAGTCACAGAGAGGATAAGGGATGGAAGGATTAGTTGAGGATACCAAAGCAATAGAGACATGGCTCTGTACACTTTCCCCTCCCACAAGATAAGTCAAAGCACAATTTGCAAGAGACACTCATACTGTCAAAATGCGTGGACCCTAGCATCCACTTATCAAGCGTGAAGAACTAGGTGTGAAAATGAGCTGCTTAATCTGGAGATCTGATAACTGAGTAACCTTAGAAATAGTAGCAAAACAGATCAAGACAAGCCAGAAATGTCAGAAAGAGGAGGCAAGGTAATGGAAGCAACAGCAACTAGAACAGATAGGTAATAGGCATGCATAAGAGACTGGAGGGAAGCATGCAGAGGCGCACAAACAGGACGAGGAAGAGAAAATGAAGAGGGGGAGCTAGAGAGGTGTTAGGAAAAGCTGAAGGAGAGTGAGAACGGCTTCCTCAACTTGGAAAAAGTTAATAGAAGATTTGTGTACGGCTGAGAAAACGGTAGCAATGATCTTACTTTCAGAAGGCAACCTGCCAAGAACACAACCTTCAAGCACTTGCTGCAGTCAGCACAGGGAAAGAATTTCATATCTTCTTCAGACTGACTTCTCTCTTCGTGTTTTCCCTTTTCCCAGTCTTTCCACATCCCTGAGATTAGCTGAGACTTTTCTCTCTTTAGGCATGACTACACAGACTAGAATAAAACTTCAGATAGACACAGCATAATCCAAGACATCCTCAATTATGTCAGGGAGCCTACTTGGTTTCTTACAGCTTCATGACCAGATGCCAGAGGAAAGAAAGATTTTACTCATTACCTTGGGATCTTAGATGAGAGGACCATTAAACAGAACAAGAGAAATTTGGAGAGTGTAGTTAGTTCCTAAATATCTATCTACTATAGGCAAAAAAGGCAAAATGGAGTTTTTGGAAAACCTTTCATACATACCAAATCCCTCCTATGTGTTTCCTTGCACTAATATGAACCTGCCCCTTTCCAAGGACTTCCTTCCTATTGGGATGACTGTATGCAAGAACACACTAGTTCAATGATCATCACCATATTAAGCAAAACAAAGCAAAAACCCATGGAACCATGATTTTACTTCCAGAAACCCCAAGTTCCTTTTTATGCTAGTACAACCAGAGTGCAAACTTACAGAAAAATAGACAGTCAAGTGGGTCAGACTTCAGCACTCTTTAAACCTGCTACGCTGGTTTGTAGCTGAGGCCTCTACAGAGAATAAGGGTTCAAACCCCTTTCTGCCCATCAGAATCGCACCCACCATCTTCTGTTTCTTGTCTAGAAAGCATCTCTCTGTAGCTTCCTCCTAGAGTTGCAAAGATAAAGCGGCTATGGGAGTGGTCCATCGTGTGCCTGCCTAAGGGAGGGGCTTCCTTTAGTCAGTCATGTTTTCACGTGCTCCCTCCTCACACTCCACGGAAGAACGGATGGCGGAACACACCAGCATAAAGGAAACACAAAAGTAAATAAACACCACCAGAGTACAATGTCACCAAAGTGCAGGTGCAAAACCTGAAGCAATCCCATCTCTGCCGGCCTGGACTTGCCACACACCCCAGAGGAGGTCAGTCTTTTCATTTTTCTTGATTCAGGAACAAATCAGCAGGGAGCACAAGGTTCTTGCAGACAAAAAAATAATCAAAGCTGAAATGAGAACAACACATTTCGTTAGTAACGTTCACCTTTTTCAGAAAAATATACTAGTGTTGTGCTTTTGAAAGTGAGGTTCAGGAGAACTGCCTGAATTAAACTCATCCAACACAAGATGGGGTAATGGGGTAGTGGTAAATATCAACTACATACACACACACACGAAAATATGCAGTGAAAACGTGTAACTAATACCTGCTAATAAAGAAATAAATCCGAAATATGATGGCAGGTAGAGAGAATTAGTGGCTTCTACTTTATACTCTATTTTTATTGTGAATAATTTTTAAGTACATTGTTTTCTTTCCAACTAAAACAAATTAAGGAGGAAAAAAAATCCTTAAAAGCCCATTATGAAGGAAAGAAGCAGGCTAGAGCAAACTGTGGGGCTGACCTATTTATGACAGAGGTTCTGAGCAGAGTCTGTAGTGCTGTGAATTGTAGCGGTGAACTGTTCCCTGCAGGAAGTCTGGGAATCGTTCCCATCTGGGTTACCAATTGTTCTTTGTCAATGTCCTTCCTGTTGCTTAACAGAACAGGGCAGGTGCCTGTTGTAGCCACCTACCATGGCTAGCCAGGTGCCTGTGGGGAGAGCTTTCCTCAGCTCCTGCTGCTGTGTGATGGACAAGGCTCCTCTCCCTGGCAGAAACAGACTGGCCATAATCAGGAGAGGCAGCCTGCAGTACTGACCTGTAGCCATCTCTACAGCCCCAGATCTGGATGTTTAATGTTTACCGCAATGCTCATGTGTCAAGAGCTGAAACAGTGCAAATGGTGATTAAAAGTGTATGTAGTTACTAGAGGTGCTGATGATGTCTTTGAGTGGAAGCTTAGGGCAAAAACAGACAGACAAATAAACAAGTCATATTTCCAGGAGATCTGTTATCTGTCAAGTGTGAAAGTACTGAAAGGCTTCTTCTAGCTCAAACTTTGTAGATACATGTACACTGTACAGATGGTACAGATGGTCCTGTTTGCAGTTTCCAAAGACTGGGCGACAAAGACGGCAGCATCCCCAGAATTGGCCCAACTGAAGTTTCATATCCTTCCTAGACCTGGCTCCTTCTTCCTTACCTTTAGGTTCAAACGCTGGTAGTCACTGGCCTTTGGTCTCCGAGTGACTTTGGATCTTTTTCCTTCTAGGGCAAAAGCAATAATCTGAGGAAAGGAAAAAGAAAATAGATTAACATTTGGCTCTGTGATGATGTACTTCAGTTCCCGAAGCCAGAAGCAGTTACCTAGCTCCACAAAGAGTCCTATTTAAATTTTATTCTCTCTCTCTTACTTTTCAGTGCTGGAGTTCAAACAAGGCATAGGAGGCAAATGCTGAATCAAGCGTGGGATACTGCAATGTATTAGAATGCTTGCCTAGCATGCACATAACCTGAGTTCAACCCCCAGCACCACAAAAGTAAGCAATGAAATTGTAAAGGTTTTAAAAGGGCTTGGTTACAAGAAAATCCTTTATACTATTTAATAGGGAACAGATGGAGGGTGTAGCCTGTGGGAATCTGTACGACTTAATTGTGGGGATCTAATCAAAGGTCTGCCAGTCCCCTTGCCAGAGAGCTCTAGGTCAGGTCCTTCAGGAAAAAGAGAGAGAGAGAGCATAATCACTGCCTGTTTCCTAGCTACAAGTGTACGCTTTGCTCCCACACGCTGCCTCGACAGCGTCACTGATTTGCCGCTCTCATCACAAGCATGTGGATGTGGAATGAAGCCTGTGCTTTTGTAGGGACTAATGGTCCTTCTTCCCTTGTTCTTTATAGCATATTCCCGATGGCCATTACAAATTGAACTCTCCCTTTAAATCAGGCTACTGAAATTTTCTTCAAAATCTCACACAACCATTTTGTCATCAGAGTTGTTTCTAAAGGACACGGGTGCCACTTTAACCACAGAGATGGGTACATTTATGCAATTTCCTCTTGCTGGTTGCAGAAGAGCTGTCCTTGGGCTTTATGGCACTGGTATTAGAGACTACATAATGAAAATATTCTTTCTGCCTACAGATGGAAGACAGTGGCAGTAGAAGTTAGAAATGGCAAACTGTCTCAAGCATGGGAAAAAAAGGAAGAGGCCTCTATATCAAGAACTCGGCCCACAGAGGCTGTGAAAGACCTGAGTTCCAAGTTATGGGAGGAGAATCTCAATTAGGTCAGGTCACGATTCATGTCCAACTTGGCACTTTACAGCAGAACTCTCAGGAAACAGGTCACATGATGGAAACACATGATTTACAAAACTAGAGTTTCATAAGCTCTAGTCGGGCCTGAAAAAAACTGAAGTTGATCTTGACACTCTCCGAGCCCACAAGCGGATGAGTGACAGCTGTCCATGACCAAGCTCTCAGGGTTAGGGAAATCCCAGTCTCCTCTTACCTTCCGCTTGTTGTGGTAAGCAATATAGAGGACAGCAACAAGGACAGCTGCGGTCACCAGATAGGCAAAGAAGTGGCTGCTCTCGGCACTGGTGCTTGCAGAACTGTCCTTATAAGAGGTATCCTTCTCCTCATTCACAGACTCTATAAGCGGCCCCTCTCGGTTCTCACTGGAGGAAGGGTCCAATACCTTTACACCCTCTTCTTCAAGTGGTGAGCCCTCTTCTGGCTCTACCTCACTCTCTTCCTTGGCTTCCACAGCTTCAGTGGGCTCTGAATACTTCTCTCCTCCCTCTGGCTTTAAAGAGAAGTCAGAGTCTCCTGGTCTCTCCCCAGATTCAGTTTTGGAAGTAGGCGTTGATTTCTGTCCTTTTCCAGCTAGTTCGGTTTTCTCAATCTTGGGGGTCTCCTGATCTGAGGAGGGTTTGGAGACGGGCTCGTTGGAATCAACTTTTGTGGGCTTTTCCGGATCAACTTTTGTGGGCTTTTCCGGATCAACTTTTGTGGGCTTTTCCGGATCAACTTTTGTGGGCTTTTCCGGATCAACTTTTGTGAGCTTTTCCGGATCATCTTTTGTGAGCTTTTCCGAATTATCTTTTGTGGACTTCTGCCCAGATTCCTCCTGTTTGGGGTCGGCTGGCGGGGGCTGTTGTGCAGACTCCGTTGACTTGGTATCTGTTTTCTCGGGCTGAGTTTTGGGATCAGACGACTCGTCTTTGGGGGGATCGGTTGCAGTGACCTGCTGTCCAGATACCGCCGAACTGGAAACTGCTGCCGTAGTCGGCTCCACCTGGCCTACGGTAGTGGATTGCTGTTGCCTCTGCCCCGTCGGACTGCCAGGCTCTACCGACTTCTTAGAAGGCTCTCCCTCCGCAGGAGGCGGG